TCATACGTCGAATACGATGGGGGAGATCATCATATGTATAAAAATGGTTTCAATATAAAGAAGTGGAGCTTTTAGAATATCTGTACGAGAAAAAGTTCATAATTATCCACACTCTTGGCTAAAGATATGTTATGACGAAAGTGCTGATAATTTTTATATAGAATCCTATAGATTGTACCAATGAAAACTCCCATCAGACATAATCTAGGACGTTTTCAAATCAACTATGAAAAAGTCAGACAACAACAGCATCTTCCATTGATAAGACAATTGTCGATAACAAACATTCCTTGTAAATGCATCTTTTCAACTGATGTTTCTTATCTAGTAAGTTTTTTCTTTCCAAATAAAAAGATAGATTATTTTAAAAATGAAAAGAAAAGTCATCGTGTGTGTGACAAGAAAATATATCCAGCAGAAAGACATCTGATCGGGAGATTGAAGGTTTTGGGAAGGGTAGAACTTTCTCTTAAATGCTCTTGTTCTCAGGGTAGCACCTGCTAAGGTTCCATGTATCGACAAATAGTGAACCACTAAATAAAATAAATTTTTATTGCAAAAATATTTTGTATAAAAACATGAACAACAATAGATTTTTGTACTGAAATTAACAGAAATTCATTTTTATAAAAAATAAATTCAAACAATTCATATACTTTTATAAAAGAATTACTAAAAATACATTTCATATCAAAATTGAAGTCATGGCATACATTTTCAAAAATAAACATCTATCTAGCATGATTAATCTAATTTTTGGTAAGGATAAACAAGTTTTCACTCGTCTGATTTTATAAGATTAAATTTAAATTTTGCAGCTAAAATTTAAAATTGAATCATGAAATAATGTCATTCTCTTGAATTAAATATAAAGTTTGAAATTCCATATTTAGATTTCGGCATTAAATAAACGTCACGGCTTTATATGCTGCCCAACAAAAAACAAGCAACCAACCCAAATTGAAAAAAAATTATTTATGATATTCAAGTGGGGTTACCAAAAGGGTAAGCTGTATGACAAAGTGGAAAAAAGCTTTCGAGTGACGCGTTTCGTCATTTAGGACTTCATCGGATTAATAAGTTTATGATGATGTGAATGAAAAGTTTTATTTGCACTTGTACATTGCAGTTACACGCTTAAAGCTTTTTCAAAATGGATGGCTATTTTTACAGCTTTTCTGCGATTTATTGTACTGTTACTTAAAAGCAATGCGTCACCATGCCAACAATTCGAAATAATTTCAATATTCTTAAATTCTTTATCGATTAGTTTGTCTTCATTGCAAATACTTCCTGTGATTCTACGCACACGTCTGTGTGTTTATCGGTTACAAATCTTAGTTTAAAACGGTAATAACATTTAGGTGAAGAGTACAGAAATAGTGGCACCTTGTTGCAATTAACAAGGGCTTTGCTGTTGAAGAATCAGTCTTATCGACGAATCTAGATACCATTTGGTTCGAATCTGTTGCCTTCACTTCACATCAATCCAATGGGAAAAGATTCCATCTCTAAGTTCCAGGCAAGCTTTTCTTTAAATAATAACAAAGTGTAGGTTCTCACGCTGTGGATGGCAGTCAGACTAAGAAACTCGAAGCTCTGAATAAAAAAATAAACACACAATTGAATGTCGTGAGATCTTCAAGGGTACACTCGGAAGGCCCTTATTTCTTATCATATGCATATGTTCCCTTCGTGTGTTTTGCTTACGATTTCTTTTTTAAAAAAGCATTGCCGACCTGTAATACTTTAACCTCTTCAAAAGTCACTAATTGTAATTCGGGATTCTTTCTGAAGAACGTTTTATCAAATTCTGCTACATTTTGAAGAGGACTAATTATCTCAGGTTCTATATAAATATTTTGCATATAGGCCTGCTTTTGACATGTTTTTGTACACCTAAATTACTCAAAAACCCGCCGTTTACTAATCTCTTTGCACTAAATTCATCCTCGACAGTTCTTTAGACAATTGAAAGCTATATCTTACATTAAACTAAACGAAAATCTGTTTATCAGTTAACAGGTATTAGACACTTTTTCCATGTATATATAAAAACACACCTACTTGTCTGTTCATATGCATGTATATATATATATATATATATATATATATATATATATATATATATATATATATATATATATATTTATATATATATAAAGCTACGAAAGGGAACAAACCGAAATGTCATTTCCTAGAAAGTGTGAAAATAAAATTGTGCCAGAGAGGAAAATAGAAAAAAAATCAAGAATTACGAAAGTGATAGACATAAATGGATAGCGGAGGAGAAAGATGCTTAAACAAAGAGGAAATTGAGGGAGAAGACGAGAGAGCATTCGACTCAATATTTAAATATTGGCCTGCATGATGATGTAAAACTACGCATGCGTGTTTATGACACACATTCTAAGATGGAAGGGAAATTCGACGGCTACGCAACAAAAGATTTCGTGACTCGACGCGTACGCTAATAAAGGGAAGAAAATGATATTGTTACATCAAGAAGAATGCTGTGGGCAGGTCTAACGATGAAGGCGGCAAACTGAATTCACCTTTCGACATTTCGCTTACATCTGCCTTTCTTCATTTGACTTCTACGGCTTTCCATCAGGCATAGTTTGTTGAAGATGTTTCTTCGTTCATTCGCTGGAAATGACTTTTCAGAGATAACACACATGTCATCTCTCAGCCATAGAAAAATTTCAATGGATCCAATTGTAATGTGTATTTTTTTACGGAAAGAAAAACATCTTCGTGTCAGTCGTAAATGTTAAATTCACACAGCTACGGAAACCAGGATATATTGCATTTGAATTGATAAAACATTTGCATATAATTTCTCTGGCATAAAAGAATTTGGAATCATATTTTAAACTTTCCTATTGCATCTTGTAGGAACTGATAAAAATATGACTTTAGCTAAATTAAAAAAGGAGTTAAATTTGAAATGCTAACCACACATTCGTATCAATATCTCATTGTATAATGAAAGTTTGCAATTCTTTGAGTGTGAATACAATGAAGTTTTCCCCAAAGCAAATAGAAAAAAAATGTATTTTTGGATGGCTCATTTTATACAGAAACTAACCTAATACAAGGCTCAAGACGCACTCGTTGTAGAATTATGAATGAAAGTGTTAAGTTTAATAAGGTGTGAAGTAAGAATGTTAATGTAGGTAGCGAAGAGATAATAAGGAGGACAGATAACGATTGACACTTGACTTGAAAAAATTGAAAAAAAGATTATCGTGTTCAAGAAAGCATCTAAAGGTGTCTGTTTTACAAACTAGCAGTTTTGTGGAAATGGTTTGTCTCAGTGGAACTTTCTTTTTGTATATGGAATATGGAGGAAATAAGGATAATTTGATTCCTTGGAGGTAGCATGTCGTGTATAATTTGTGATCTTGTATAATTTCTGCTATATCTCAAATTCTTTATAATTTTGTACACTGTTCTGCTAACTAGCTTTAATAATTGCATTCCCTAAAACACTATCTCTTGACTATGCTTTACTGAAATACAAGTGCGGTTATGCCTATACATCTTTTATTCAGTCCAATATATTAACGTCCCGCGTGCGACGATAAACTACATCCGGCAGCGAGGCATCTGATCAGGAATATATATCCATATATTTGCTTACATACTGTCTACTGGAAATACAAACCTGAATTTACTTTATAACATGGAAGACTTCAAGCTTGTACGAACATATAAGAATCTATTGATCAAGTAAAGAAAGGATTTATTAACGAACTGTTTTAAAATTGTTCCATCGTGCCTGTCTGATATTTTGAAATCATTTTTGATTTGCTTTGTAACATGGAGGACTTCAAGTTTGTATGAAGATATAAGAACCTATTGATCTCTGCATATTCCTATATCAACGGAAGGGATTTCTTGAACTGTTTATATAAAATAGTTCAATCGACTTTTTTAATATTTTAATATTTGGAAATCATCTTCGAATACGTTTTCAAAACATCGCCGACGTGACGACGACGTGATCATATTTAAACGGAACGCTGATCTTATATAAAAATTTCAGTTATCTGTTTGGATTAATTGTGCTCTTATGTCCATCGTCTTTTTATGTTAAATTTTATACGTTCTAATGTTAATTATGTTTAATGAAAATGTCCTGAAGATGGTCTAAAATAGACCGAAACTTCCGACGTTGACTTTTATATTAACATTAATACAGCATAATTGCATATTAAGATTTTTGTTTGTTTTTCTGTATATTTGTCTTCATACTGTCGGATCTATATCCATATATTTGCTTACATATTCTTTATGTAGGTCACTAGAAGTTTCCGTATGCCTCTTGCTATCAATATGCATTGTTCTTGTCAAATTTCCAAGAGTTATTTCCTTATATGGGTCCCATAAATTTCAAGTGTCTTTTTCTGTTTCGAAGTACAATTGATATTTTTGTTTCCAAATGAAAAGAAAAATGAAATAGAAACTGAAACGGCCGATGTTAAAATGATTTAATCTTTCAAAAATCTTCGTATATTTAATTTAATAGGTAATCAACCATTGCGTGTTTCTTTCAATACTGTATTCGTCCGATGCATAGGTGTTTTCTATTTGTAAAATCATTCTAAATCAATTCGATATATGTCCTCTTTATATTGTTTGTAATTCCAGGTAGGTTTCCAAACAAACTTACCACACAGGTAGACGCACATATAAACCATTCAAGTAGCAGTTGCAGTAAATACATTTCAGCTGTCAGTGTTTGTATGCTACGTCGTAGTTTTTCTCATGTGTTTTGTAATGTTGTCTATTCATTTTTTTTTCTTTCTCAACAGTCTTTCAAGTTCTCACTGAATGGTTTACGTCGATGCATCTTTTAAGCAACATTGAACGCTTATGCTTTTCTGCAAGTGATTTTCTTCGATTTTTGCTAGTTTTCTTTTGCTTGACAGTTTATGCATATTTTTTTTTTTAATATTATTATTATTCTAATTCTTTATATATTTCGATTTTAGTCCATTTATTCTTTCGTGTTTTTATACATTAATCTTCATTCTTTCTTCCTTTCTTTCATTCATTCATTCTTTCTTTCTTTCTTTCTTTATATTCCCTTTCTTTTAAATTATTTTACCCTTTCTATCACATTTCCTTTTTTTCTCTCTCAGTTTTGTCATACTTATGTTCTGTCTTTATTTCCTCTTTTTCATTCTTTTTGTGTTTTTTACTTACAGTTCTTTCCTTTCGACGTATTTCTTTCATTTTACTTCCGTGTTTATACTATTCTTTATTCCCTAAATCATTATTTCATTCATTGAATTTCTGTTACTTGTTCTTTTCGATTTTAGTTATTTTCATTCTTTTTATCTTTCTGTTTTGTTTGTCGATTTTGTTTATTGCTTTTATGTGTCTTATTTTGTAATTTCTCTTAAATTCACTTCAGGCAGAGTTAAATATTTTTAGATGCAAATGCTTTTTTATCTTCGTATTAAGCGTCTTGCTTTTGTTTGTGAACAAAATAAAACAACAGAGAATTTTATTTTATATTCTTAAAACCTTCCGTTTTCTTTTTATTCTGTGAATTATCCGGAGACATTACACGCTTATTCCTGCATTCTTCTTCTTTGTGATTGTTTTATCTCTTTCGTCAATCAGTTTTTGGGCCTGAGAGAACGGATATGACTCACTGATGTACTGGAATTGTCTCAGCGGTTCTTGATGTCTATCAGGAATATGGTTTTACCATCAATGCCCTTAAATTTTTTTTTCGATCATTGGAGATGGAAAAACATGAAAGAGAAGCAAAGTACCAAGAATATTCTGTGAGAAAAATCAATATAAAAATTGAATGATTTTTATATCAAATTGAACATGTCTATATACAAAATACGCATCAATAAAATCACAATAATAGCACTGATTTTATATTTATATATATATATATATATATATATATATATATATATATATATTTGTATATAAATATATATAGATATATATATATACGTATATATATATATATAGATACATATATACGTATATATATATATATATATATATATATATATATATATATATATATATATATATATTATATATATATATATATATATATATATATATATATATATATATATATATATATATATATATATATATATATTGATATATATATATATATTGATATATATATATATATATATATATATATATATATATATATATATATATATATATATATATATATATATGTATGTGTATGTGTGTGTGTGTGTGTGTGTTTGCCTTTTCCTAGGGACTATATACTGAGACATAATTATATTTATGCGTGTTTAAGCGTTCGAGTAATTTAGCGCCTACATGATTTTGCATTGCGTATTATACACTGCTGCTTTCCTGGTACAATCATATAATCTGGCTATAAACTGTAATATTTATTAAATTTAGCTCATGGTTGTACACTACCCCAACTGTTTACCATCGTCCCTTCTATATAAACCATCGTGAAGATTATATTAATTCTATATAATTATATAATATATATATATATATATATATATATAATAATATTAATATATATATATATATATATATATATATATATATATATATATATATATATATATAGTATTTTCAATTTTTTATTATACAGTCCGTCTTTGCGTCTTTTAGAAAAAACTAACAGATATTAAGTATTTAATATAAACACACACATACAAACAAACACAAACTTCATTCTGACCAGAAGGAGAACGCGTAGTCTAGATAACAATTCTCTACTTTGACTTATTCAAATAAAACTCAATATCCAAATAACAAACACACACAAATATATATATATATATATATATATATATATATATATATATATATATAATGGGACGCTCACATATATATTCGTCAATATTTTTTACAGATAAAAATGTCTTATAAAATGAATTTTCTGTGATATTTTAAACGAAAAGTAACTAATATTTGTTTCAAATCAATTAATTAAAACTTACATCAGATAATCTTCGTCAAGTACTGTTTCTGAAAAGTATATTTTTTTTTGAAAGTCTTTTTAAGAAAGATAACAACGTTGAACTGACAGATTTCTAAATATGGCTAAAAAAATCTGACCTAGGTGGAGAAGATAAATGATTCCATAGCCTTCCCAGTGTATTTCCGTATGAGTGAATGTAATAAAAATCGACTGGAATTCGAACTTGGCTCTCCAATTTCTTATTCTGTGCCGCTAACCACCCCACCACACAACCGTATGCGTGTATGCAGATGAAGGAATCTTGAGGATAGGGAAAGAGGAAAAGAATGGAAAAGAGGAGAATGAAAAAAACAAAATGTTTCCTCGCCAATATCATCTAAATAAGGATCTCATTTTCCTCGCCACGGCAATTACACCCGTGTGCAATTAAATTGAAAGAACCACTTTAGTTTCCTTTCTTTCACCCTGAGGTCAGATATAGACCTACTGAAGTGACAGGGTGTAATCGATTTCTATTTTTCCTCAAATTAGTTCATTTGCAATGATGTGCAGTAATATGAATCTCCTTTCGGGGTGTATGATGAAATTTGTTTGGCTTAGAAAAATATTGCCTCATTCGTGATTGCATCAGGTTTTTATCACGCCCAGATACTATTGTCTCAACTCTCGATTAGTTGCCCTACGGCCATTGTTTGTGATGGATGTTACAACAAGGAAACGTACCAAAATTTTAACGCTGCACGAACACACTAGTAAGCCTTACCAGTGAGCAAATCAAATTACTATAGTCTGGCTTGGAAACTCTCTTGATTTAAATCCAATCGAGAATCTGTGGTCAATATGCAAGGAACGACTTCGTGGAATTGACATACGACATACTAACATGTGCACTGGGTCATGTTTCGTTGGGAAAATACGAATAACCGAATTATTCATTTTGTTTCAGTTAATTTAGAAAATGGTGTACATAAAGCACGGTTATGAGAAACCATCCATAGTCTGATGATGATGATGATGATGATGATGATGATGATGATGATGATGATGATGATGCTCAGTACATGAACATTGAAGTATCCAATGGTAATGAATAAGAATATAGCGATTTTAATATATCTAATATCAAATGTTATTTTACTGTATTCTTCATATTTGAAATAGATTCCCTATTTTTTATTACACAGTGTGTATTACGTCTATCGGCATGCTCGTTCGAAAAGTTTTAGTAAATAAAATTATAAGCAAGCCGATATATGGGGATATAAAATATTAAGAATTGGGCGACTATTTCAAATTTTGATGTATCAACTTCAATAACGTTTGAAGTAAAAAGAATGACAAATTTATAGATATGTCTATATGAAGTTGGCTTTGAAGTCAGCACCCAGGGGCGACAGTCTCTTTCATGGTAAATGCAATCGTCATGCCTGAAGATTGGGTTTACTATGAAACAGACTGTCGCCTCTGGGTGCTGTCTCACTTTCAATTTTATATTTATATAGGTTCTATCCCTGTTATCGAACACTTTTACCCATAAATATATACAGAAACATGAAAACTACATTTTATCCACACTACACACACACAACACACACACACACACACACACACACACATATATATATATATATATATATATATATATATATATATATATATATATTTATGTGTGTGTGTGTGTCATATCGAGAATGATGCTTCCTATTTGATTAAACTGCCCTCCTATATGTCAATATAAGGTGGTGGTTGTTGATTCCATCTAATGGAGATTTTAGAGATATAATTTTACCGACACTTTGATAATTAATGTCAAATACGCATAAAATAGATACATTTCATTGATTTACTCGATTCTGAATGAATAGAATCCCCTTACATTCATTAACTTCTCATGAACACTTACGGAGACCAAACTGTGCAGATTGTCAAGTTTAGGTGGGTATTGGCGTTTCTGTAGTGGAAATAGTGTAATGTGTGACGCGATCTTGCACAACTATGAAATCCGGAAATTAATAATACTAGCGAAAATGCATAGACAATAATTGTATTGTGGAAAATATCAATTTTAGTCGTAATTTGTCCTATCCTGCTCTGTTAATATTCTGCCTGTACTTCCGTGGAAGGGTGTTAATTTCGTCCTCCCTCTATCTCTTATTTCTCTCACTCATTCACTCACTCATTTCCTCTGTCTCTTTCTCTCACTCTCTCTCTATCTCTCTCTATATATACATATATATGTGTGTGTGTGCGTGTGTATGTGTGTCTGGGTGTGTATGGATCGCTGAAGAATGTTTTTCAAGACGTCCATTGATGTTACACCGTAAGAAATATGTTGCTCGTACATTTTGAAATGTCTCGGAAAATTGGTACCATATATATAATAAAACTGTATTGTGCAAAATAGTATTTTTAGCCGTAATTTGTCCTATCCTGATATGTTAATATTCTGCCTATACTTCCTTGAAAAGGTGTTAATTTCGGAGCATCCAATCGTTATCTCTTTCTTTCTTTCTTTCTTTCTTTCTTTCTTTCTTTCTTTCTTTCTTTTTCGCTCTCTCTCACTCTCTCTCTATCTATCTATCTATCTATATATATATATGTGTGTGTGTGTGTGTGAGAGAGAGAGTGTGTATGGGTCACTGAAGAATGTTGTTTAAGACATATGTTGAAGTCGTTACACTGCAAACAAAACATATATTTTAAAAAATATTGAACTTAAATTTAAGGTTCTCCGTGTCCATTTTCCTTCCGGGGCGTGTGTAGTTGCATCAACATAAATATCATTTTATTCCAATTAGGTTCTAACTCATGAAACGCGTATCACGAAAACGTTTCCCATAAACATTTCATGATGCATAAATACACACACACATACATACTTTTCTCTCGTTGGAACCACTACAACATATTTCTTTTATATATATATGTATATATATATAGTTTCCCATATATATATATATATATATATATATATATATATATATATATATATGTATATATAACTATACTTTAATCAAATGTGTTCCAACTATAAACAAGATAAAAATCCGAAAAAACTCATCAACACTAATATATTCCCCACTGATCCCAGTAAAAATAAAACTAATTATATATTATACTAACTTAATCATACACTGTAACTCTCCTCCCTCATCTGATCTTCTGAAATAGATCAAATTTGTATAATTAGTTCAAATGTCGTTTGGTAGATGGTACCTCTGACAAAAAATTACGTACATATTTTGGTTTGATGACCACAACATTATCAAGACTTTTTACACTTCATTTGTTGGATACAATTTCTACTACACAAGATTCAAAGACAAATAACAGAGATGATCTGATGATTGCGTTTAACAATCTACTTTTTGACATCAATGTCCTCTTTTACATTTATATTCGCTCTATCCCTGAAATAGAACACTTTAACAAATAAATATAGCATACCTAAAATCTATATTTTATCATATAGATGTGTGTATGTGTGTTTTTGTGTGCGTGATTTAAGAACGATTGAATTTTGAGGCTTATCGGTAACATGTGGTACAATACATTGGCTATTTTGAATTTAAAACCAACATAGGCCATATTCCCAGGCAACTTAACACTTCAGGCCCAGAGAAACCGACCGATGTAAATGCACCAAAAAGGATTTTTTCAACGTAAAATTATCATCTATCACGCCACATATGCCGGATTAATGTGGTTCTTATTCTCTTCTTTCAGCATTAACAAATAAATGAATGACCTGTATGCCATCTTGACTTGCTTAACGTTTTTCCCATCTCCTCTGTTTTCTCACATACGATTCACGTCTCAGTCGCTCTCTATGAGAATCGTTTAATATCTTGTGTGTCTATGAAGATAATATTTCTCATGTCTTTCTTAAAACGCATGTATTAGAAAGTCAACCATAAGTGCTCAAAATTTGGGTCTTACAAATTCAGTTTTCATAGAGAAATAGATAATGAATTCAGTGGATGATGAATTGCTTTTCGGAGTACATCACTTTTTCTATAGAAAGGTGGTTAGCACCTCACTACTTAGACTCTATTTTAATGGCAAATAGGTGAACGAAGATCCTTGGTTTCACTAGTTCAGAACTTCACTATGAATTAAGCCCTCTCATACATTGGCGTGTTTATTCCAAGTATAAGTACGTAAAATTCATATATATATATATATATATATATATATATATATATATATATATATATATATATAGTTCCATATATACAAAGTTATATTCTTATATATATACATATATATATATATATATATATATATATATATATATATATATTTTCCACCTATTCTTATTGTACATTTCTCTGTTTTTCTCTGTTTTAATTTTGAATCTCCCGTGGAAGCCTGAAGAGCGGGAGCAGAAACCGGTTGCTCCCCCCCCCTTGTTGTTGATTTTTTTTATTATTTAATATTGTTTTAATATGTCTTGTAATATTAAATTTTACACTTTTATTTCGATCATTAAATTTTGTACCTACAAAAAATATCTTTAAAATATATATATATATATATATATATATATATATATATATATATATATATTGTCTCAATAACATATTTATCTTGAAAGTTTAATTCATTATTTGTCAACAATTCGTCTATATTTTAAAGATGAATTAAGTCAACACCAAATCTCGTGTCTATTGGAAAGGGAACAAACGAAATTACGGTTTGCAGTTTGTTACAAAATCCGTTGTTTTGTAAAAAATAATGTCGCAAAATAGGCAAATGATTCTGCCAACCATTATATAAGTTTAGAATTTTGAATGTCTCTTATTAATGTCTCTTTCCTGATACTAATTTCTCTCACATGTTACATAATTTATTACATATCCTTATATTAACGTCGGTATCCACTATTTGAACCCAGTTAAAAACCTACGGTATCTAAAGCGGTTTTCTCAAGCAGGGAACATTCAATAAAAAACAGCAACAATAGTCTTTTTTTTTTCAAAATAATATCCATGAATTTGTTTCTCAATCAAACAAATATAAACGTAGTAAACAGCTATCCATATATTCATGATAATCTGAAGTTGGAGTGCGGGTGGTGGAAAGGCTATCTGTAGGAAATGTAGAATCTAGTTCAAACTTCTGCCTAATATGTTATGTTCACTTTTGGATAAATATCCTTGAGCAAAGCAACTATTCTCCTGCTAAGTAAGGATTATATACAATGACATATATGCCACCCTAGTCTGGGGTAATATTGAAGAACTATTCTGATTTCAAACGGAAAAACGCTATTTAATTATTTCCAAGAAGATTTCAAGTGTGCGTCATGGTATTTAAAGAAAAGAAAAAGCTAAAACTGTTGGATACAGCATTAGAGTGAAAATAAAAGATATAAATTTGGTACTGAATCCCCAAAGACCTTTGCCTTGCTGATAGAAAGTTATGAGTTTTTTCTTAAATATTTATTTAACATGTTCTCTCTTCTTGGGAGCACCTTATTCGTTGTTTTTTTTTAGAGGTATATTACACAATATAAGTTATTTAATGCCAAAATCTAAATATTTTATACGTAATTGAATGGTTTTAGTTACATATATTTTGAATGTAATTCTTTGCCTTCAACTACAGATATTTTCTACAGAATTCTATACATATAGGGTAAACGTATATACATATATTCTTTGTAGATGTTAAAAAAATTTCTAGTATTTTGATTTTTCTTCGTGGTTCACTATTTTCATATTACCGGGACACTTCCAGGTGCTGCCAGCCCGGGTAAGAGTAGATATGTCAACAAAAGTAATTAAGAAGTGGTACCACCTCCTGAAGGATGTGGTTTATCGCCATATCCATAACGAGGTTTAAGTTGGGGTTAAAACTTTTGGATGTAAATGATCTTATCCGAGTCTATCTTATTTTGGACAGGTTATAATGTCATACGTACCGTAATAATTTAAGCGTTCCTTTTGGAGGCAAAGCATAGAATATGGATAGAAAAGATACTACGAGGTATAGCGTATTTTGTCTTGAAACACGTGAAATCTAACCAATGGAAAGTGTAAGAATCGTCAAAGTAGGGACTCAAAGACGTCTTCCAGGATTCTTCTGATGAAGAGTAACTAGCAGTCAGAATACGCAGGTGGTCGTTTTGGTTTTCTTCCGCTATTACGTAGTACCAAAATAACACGACAATTTTTGGCACAATGGCAAAAGGAAAATATATATGTCGACTCCCTACACTAAAAGTTAAATTGAAAATGACAGTTGCTAATGGGAAAAGAGAGAAATGATTTTTATTTCCCCCAAGAGCAGATAATAAGAATAGTTCTATTGAAAGAAATATTTTCCAAGATTGCCCACTATCTATCTATCTATCTATCTATCTATCTATCTATCTATCTATCTATCTATCTATCTAAATGATTGTATTTATTGATAAAAATGTTCACTATCAGATACTGAGTATATGTAAGTATAAAAATATAAAAGTGGACATTGAGTCAACAGCAAGCGGCTGCAGTCTGTTTCATGTTCCGATATAATTTTCATGGCCTGATGATTGCGTTGAAGTATGAAGCCTGGAAGTCGCCACTGGTTTTTAGTCTCAGTTTCCCTATTCATATTCGAAAAAGCTAAAACCTAAACTGGAATTTTGCTTTAATTAACTCAAATCAGATGAAGCATAAACCATATCAACGATAGCCGAGTGTACATGCACCATCAGAAAATAGAAACGGAGGACACAAATACATATGAAGAGAGGAACTCATGAAAAAAAAAATTGTAAACACGAAGCTGTCCAACGAAAAGCTCCCGATCTACTTTTTTGGCTAAAGTTTGCAAGCGCGAGTAGAAATAAAGACATAATAAGTACAATAAATAAATGCAAGAATAAACGAACAGATTTCAACAAAGGTTTCGTGCAAGGAATAATCACTATTGTATTCGGAAGAGATAATTGATCTTTACGACAATGACATAAAATCACCCAAAGAAACTGGCCAAACATGAAGACATTGCGTCCAATGAAATATACTAATATTGGAATCGAAGTGCTTGTATCCAAAAGTCAATTTCTATTTTTTAGCCCTGACTAGCATTTAATAAAGACAAGGAGTTTATATATTCAAATGAAGAGAAAATTGATATAGGAAATACCTGGTATGTTACCTCAATACCTGGTATGTTACCTTAAAATCTGAGAATGTTGGTCTAACATAATCATGTTAGACCAACATTCTCAGATTTTATTTTCATGTGAACGGCTTATTTAAGTTATTTAATATACTGTAGCATTTTAGCAGGCATTCCATCCGAGTCAATGGACTTTCTGAAATTATCGTGCCGAAATATTTGCAGTTAACTTGATATTTTCTTTGTAATTCAGCCATCGTTTTACTACGATGACTTTCATCATCTTTACTTGAAAACAATTGGAATTGCATTGGTGATCATTCCGAAGATATGAACAATCCGATTTTATTGGGATTTAAGATTACATACTAACATTTTATCATTTAGAACAAATCAATATTTGAGATTCTCTCAGGTATCAACAAACGAACTGAATATATCGCTTATTAAATGCATTAAAACGGCTAATATGCGATCGAGGATAAACTAATGATTCCCATCTTTATAGAAGAGTGGAGAGGAATAGATATTTCGCAAATATTTTTCGTCTAATTAGATTCCCAGTTCATTCCAAAGACGGTGCGTCCTCGGTATGAGGATAAACTACATCCGCGTCCTTGGTATGACGATGAACTACGTCCAACAGCAAGGCATCTGATAATATGGATATACGATTGATTATTTCAACATCATCATCATCATCATCAGTTTACTCCCCAGATATGTGAAGATTTTAAACCTTTACCATAAATGGTTATGAGACTAATGAAGATATATTGAACTGTTTGTTGTTTTATTTTTGGATTGACGTGGGTGTAATATGCGACTTTTAGAAGTATTCATGGTTTTTTTAATGGTGATGGTTAGGCTGACAGCTTTAATCACATTAGAAAAACGATTAATATGTTAATTTGTTACTACATTAGTTGTTGTAAGAGGTGTACGATCAGCGCCAAACAAGAGGCTGCGTATCACACTGGTAAGTGTATGGGCGCTAACGCGCTGGTAATTGCTCTGCCACGGGTACAATATTGGAAGGGTGTAGCTGAATGCAGATCAGCGGCAGCATAGAGAAGCAGAAACAGGAATGTGCAAGCTGGGATTTCATAGAAAGTCCGACATTTGAAAAACCTGGAGCTTTTTCCTTTCTGATAAAAAAAAAAAAAAAAAAAAAAACGTTTATTCACCATCATCTTTTATCTGAGATGTACCTTAAAGTCGAATTTCGTTTTATTCATAAATGCCGAACTATGAAGAGTTTAAGAAAAAAAATGTCTTTTACGTTCTGGTACGGAACTGTTATCTTGCATCATACGGTCACTTCTTTAATTGACATTCAAGATTTCATGTTGCACTTTGGGCTATAGACATTTTATATTGCATCAATTGCTAAGTTTAAAAAAGTTGGTTCATTTTGATGTGCTAGACGATTTTTCTCACCAGAATCTATAGTGCAAATTTATAAATTTACCATTCCTCCATGCCTTGAATATTGCTGGCACATTTGGTCTAGTGCTTCTGTTTTTCATCTAGAAATTCTTGACACAATCCAAAAAAGAATCGTCAATGTTATCAGTCTTGGCCTGACATCTTGTGTAGTCATCTTTCCACCATTAACGTAGCTTTCATGTGATTTTTCTATAAATATTTTCATGGTGGTTATTCTGATGAGCTTTCATCTATGGCACGTCGATTCATGAACTTAAGTGCAGTTGCTAGATTGGCAGCTTGATCTCATAATTTCATATTAATTTCTTACTTGATGATCTCCCTTACCTCTTCTTGCTTTTATGTCATCTATGAATGTCAAAAAGGTTAATATAGCGTCTCTCGTCATCTTTTATCTTCTTTTATCATTTTCTTTCATCTTCCATAATCCCTGTATCTTAGCTATTATTGCTCTGCTTGAAGAGATATTATTAAAGAAATAAACCGCATCGGGTAACCAAGTTATGTAAAACGGCATACGACGTTTAAATCTCCTTTTATTTCTGGTATTTATATAGTATAAAATATTATATAAAAGAAAAGACATTATGATTCCATTTAATCTTACAGATAAACTGCTATAGTTTCAACCTTATCGACTCTTCATGCTATCTAAGTATAATTATTCAATTTGCAAATATAATAATTACATTGTGGGATGTCAGAAATCTACATAATGAGTGTAATCCTTTACATAAATGTATAGTCAAATAAATTTATTTAAGACAGTTACAGAATGGATAATTGGTATTTTCATGATTGTCTGTGCCACGAGTTTATTTCAGTATTTCTATTTGGTATTCCAAAATTTTTCCTTCTTACATAATCGACAAATATCAGATCGCGTTCCATATCTTTTGGATAGTTTTTTGTTTTACAATTAAAAGCAGGGAATATATATTTATTCTTCTCTAGTTTTTTTTTTTTTAAACCATTTTTCTTTAATTGTCACACAGCTAGAAAGGACAGCAGATTCAAGGTACTGGGAACTCGAGGAGTCGCCTGGGGCAACATCAAAGTCGAGAGCTCCGTCATAACGCGAGATAATGTTTGAGATCATACTTGCAGTCGACCATGAACCCAGAAAGATTAAATTATTTGGTTAAATGTCAATAGAATATGATCTTGTAAAGAAGTTAAGTGTGTCATGAAAAGATTTGTCGATCTAAAGCTTTGAAAAATATATTAGGTTGGGTAATGAATATTTTCTTTATCTTGTATTTAGTTTTATATCTTAAAAAAACCTCCGTATTCTACATTTTCCGTTTTTCTCTCTGTGAAAGTTAAAAATATATATACTTGTAAGGGCGCCGAAGTTCACCCTGTGTGTTTGGAATGTGGGTGTGGAATATATTTTGGAAACATTTGATAGTGGCACTCTCAAAACATATCCTTCTAAGTCAGTTACCTTTCTTTTTTTAACAATTGTGGCAATTTTCTAGATCGAAGTTGTCTTTGAATTTACTTCTACATATTACTAGTACATTTGGAAAATTATTGTGAATAAGATGTCGATTGTGTTTAAATTACACCAATTTATTATGAGGGTCGTTTCTCTACAATGACCTGCTTCAGAACAATCGTTGTTATGGGTATTTTGAGCTCTGTTCATATATATATATATATATATGTGTGTGTGTGTGTGTGTGTGTGTACATATGTATGTATGTATATATATATATAAATATATACATGAACCAAATCTTAAAATAAACTTTAAATTAAATCTCAAGCGATGCTGGATAACTTTCAAGAAAATGATTTACATTTTAAAGCTAAATAATATGTAGTTTAAGTTGCTAGGAGTATAGGATTTCAAAACTTTGAGAGGGTGTTGTCTTTTTTGACGAATCAGGATAAACGTATAATTTAAGTTGGTAAAGTAAATATAGGTTAAGGGTTAGGTGTGGGTTTGTAATTTCTCTCTGCTGATACTGGCTTCCTTGTATGAGTACGTGTTTTTATTATTATTATTATTATTTGTGGCGTACACATGATACACTACAATACATTGTAATTTTTATTTATTTATTTGTTTATGTCATAAAATACATAGAGATTTTCTTAAAGGGGTTTCCAAATATAATTAATTCATATTTTATATATTTATATTATTATTTATAAAGATCTAAAATACTATATTTATTATATTTATTAGTCTACTAGATACAGTAATGTTAAAATTGATATATAAGAATTTAATTACGCATTTTCTTACTTTCATATTTATGATCAAGTAATAGATATAAATTATGCACCTTTTTTATAATTAATTGTTTTTAAAGTCAGATTTCTTTTCCATAGAAAGATAATAACTTATTTACTTGTGTCTGCATTTTATTATTTTATTAAATCGTAGGTTTTGCATTACATTGTGAAGCTAAGAAGGCATTTTAGGTCAGAATGAAAAACACACCTGTGTGTAAGGGAATTGCTTTCGGTTTTTTAAACAAAGGATAATAATAATAAACAACTCTATTTATTTTTACTCCCATCACAACAATCATATAAAATGCTGGGTTATATTAAGTTTCTAGTTAAGCAATCTTAGAATATGTAGTCACCAATTACTGCTTGAGGGAGAAAAATATACAAATATACTATATATAGTCAAATTATTTTCTGTATAATACCAATCACAAAGCCTAGAAAATCGGAGAAGTAAAATAGAAAATGATATTAATAAATCTCAACAACCCTGGCAAAATTAAGCAGATAATTTTGCTCACTAAACACGATAACTGCCACCATCGAAAATTAATTAAAACCAGTTGATCAAAAATTTATTAAAAGCATCACAC